TAAAACACCGGAACTGTGGTCACGTCACCGGTCGGTCATGTGTGGAGTATTCAGTTTGGGGACAATCACGTGGTGTGGTCTGAGGCTAACTTCGACTATTCTTGACAATTAGCTACAAAAGTAATATTTAACTGTATTATTCAACCCATGAACTCGTGAATAAAAATTACTCGTAAAATTACTTTCATCGGCCTTGCAGTGCAGTAACCCACACTACGGCAAACCTTATCAAGACACAATAACAAGAATATATTTAAGGGAACTGCCAAGAAAACTAAGACAAATTCTCTTTGGATTGTACTAAATTGTGTATTGTGAAATTCTTTAATTTTCTATCATCGATATTTGATTCCGTATTCTGTTTCCGTTTCCGTTTCCATGATTCCGTTTCTGTTTCCGGATTCCGGATTCCGTGTTTTAGTGCTGCCCCAGAAAACATCTTAAGATGACTCAAAACTCATTTTTTAATGTGTTTAGGAGGGGTATTTGACTGTCAAAACCGGCATTATGAAAGGGCATTTGACCAGCATTTGGCATAATTTAATGGGAATTAAGCTTATTTTGAACTGGTGGTCTTACAAAGTTCAAATAATACCTGGGGAATCTTGCCCGGGAAGGCGATCTTGAAGTTTCAAATTCATCCGTAATAGATATGAAGACTATGAAACTGTTTTGAGCCTCCCTATGTCACTTGCTATGTGCTAATTGAATTATATGAAGTGCTTTTAAGTGCAGAGAGACTAAATAATAGCTGTTACTACTATGAAATAAAACTACGGCCATCCCTCAACAAGAGAGTGTACATGTAAGCAGACAAGGAAGCTACAAAGATTTCCAAACCCATTGATAAGCTTCAGCGAAAGCCTCGTCGGGTTTAGAACATAATTATTACTTTCAAATATGACCTTCTATTGCTTAATTCAAATCGTGGTTTACTTCTACTATATATTTCAAGGTAAATTTTCAGTCATGAGCTATAATAAATATAGTGTAAGCTTATTTTGAAAAGCTTACCTAATTAAAGCTAATAAACAGAGCTGGGAGAAATCCTTATAAAATTAAGAAGGGAAATACAGACTACTAAGCTATAAAGTTTGATGCTCCTTACCTTGATGTTGCGGTGGAAACATTTGTCTTGGATTGTTAACATTGTTAAATGCCATTTTACACCACCTATCATACGATAATACAAGTACTCATCAACCATCATCATCAAATGGCCGCCATCTTGGACTCCAGGAAACTACGTCATATATGTGTCTAGGAAATCCGACACAAGAGGGAGTCTCGCCCGATCGCGTAACCGAAGTGGTGCGGCACGAAAACTCACTTACTTTTTTAAAACTAAAATTCCTGCCTTTGATCGATTAAGGAGTAACACGCTGGGAGGGAAAGTGGCAGTGGGATGAAAAAGGAGATAAACACATGAGAGTACAGCCTGTGCCAGGTTCTCCACAGGCAACCCAGACTCTATGTTGGGGTTCGTTGGAACTTGAATGTATGTAAATGAACAAAATACGACCTAAAAAACTCGCAATAAAATTGACTCAACTTGAGTTTGTGTTGTGTGTCTTACTGTCTGCTCGCTTCTACATTTAGCCAGTTCCAGGCTCCGAGAGCGTCGGGTCCGCTGAATTGAGAAAGCGCAAACACGAAAATAAAATGGGAGGAAACTGGGGAGAGCTTGAACAGGGGCCTTTCCTCTTCCTTTTCCCGCCCTCCAACTTTTTGCGTGCTTTTTTCTTTCGCCTCCTGCCCGCTATCTGAGAGCCTGGAACAGGCTAAGAGCCATTTGGAAGCCGTTTTATTGAGTTTTAGATTTCGAGCTGTTCTTACAATAAGAAAAAAAGGGGAACATTTAACGTGTATGAGCTATTTTGAATGCTTCAGTGTAATCGTATCGACATCTATTGTCTTAATCCCAGATTAAGACAATTTTTTTTCCGAAATTGGGTATTGCTGTACATTTATGAAACGAGAACCGCTGCGCACAGCTGAAGCCGATCCTCATACTATAGATTCACTTTTCTTTGTCTTCCTTCGGACATATGGTGCAAAAGGAAAAAAAATGCCCTCACCAAACGTTGCTTAGAGGGAAGACTTGAAGGTTTCAAGGTTTCGTCATGGTTTCTTAAGATAATGAAGTTCGTCGAATACCGAATAGCTAAGAAATGTTACGTTTTTCATCATTGTTGTAGATGGTTGCATCATCACAAGAGAGAATGAGCTAGATCATTCTCTCTTGATCACCATCATTTATGAGGTTGTCACGCGCGATTCTACTTAATGAAACAGTCTTTAACTCTGACGACTTGATTCTAATGTTATAAGCTACTGCTTCTTAAAAGAAAAGAGACTTTTCGAGCAGTTGTTGAGTAAGAAAGTTACATCTAAATTGGACTCATGTCTCTCAAAATATCAATCGGCCTACAGGAAGGGAATAAGGGCCTGTTTACAAGGAGAGAGGGTTACCCTTGTGCTAGGGTTACCCTAGCAAGCGGGTTAAAGTTAGCTCTGGTTTACAAGCAAATTTCACAGGTAGGGTTACCCCATCACACGGGTCAACTTTACCGACTTTACTGACGTGTTTCATCATGCGTAACATTCTTTGTAACGTCCAAGATTTGAAATAAAACTTGAAGTTCTCTGTATAAAACACGTTAAATTCACGAAAAATCGGGAAAATATTATCATCGTATACAGAAAATACCTTATATTGTTCAGATGTTCATAATTTAGCTCAGAAATTAGATAATTCCGTTTAAATTGTCAAGAACACGACGGAGGAAAGTTGTCCCGGGTACGCGAGTTATCCCTAGCAGAACGTTTACAAGGCAGGTACGGTAACCCTAGCACTCCGGCAGGGTTACCCTAGCGCTAGGGTAACCCTACTTGCCTTTTTAACACGCTGTGTGAAAAAAAAAAGAAAAAGAAACGTGCGAGTGCTCGGGTAACTCTCTTGCTAGAGTAACCTTAGCAAGAGAGTCAGTAAACAGGGCCTAAGCTCTGAAACAGAGTTAATAAGACTAGTCGAGGATTGGAAATCTGCTATTGACGATGGAAAATATCGAGAGTTATTTCCACAGATACCAGTAAGGCTTTGACTCTCTGTTACGACGACTGTGGAGCGAACGTGGTGAGCGATCTGAGAGCGAGCAGCAGTATACACAAGAATTTCAAAGTAAGAAGTCTTTGAAACCAGAACTCCATTGCGTTTTTAACCAGAATGCATCGAGTTTTCGGTCAGAATGCGTGGACCTCTTTCAAATAAGCCCTTCGACTTCGACTTTGACTTCGTGGCTTGGCCTAAAAAGTTCGCCCTACTCGCCTCACTTTAAGGCTTTTTATACGATGAAACTCGATGGGACTACTTGCATCAAGCCTAAATAATACACTGCCCTCGAAATTTCAGATGACACTTAAGTGCCGTTGACCTACGATCACGTGACTCGTGGATATTTTAGAACTTAAAATGGTGGGGAATATTGATGAATAAACTTAGGACGTTATACAACAATAACGCAAGTGCCTCATAGAAAAAGAACCTGAAATGTCCGCAGAAATTATATAGACTTGGGCTATAGTTGTCATTATATTATTAGTTTCTGTTAGTATTTCTTGTGATATCTTCGTAAGGTTAGCGGGACTTAAAGTCTCAGAAGACCGTATGCAAATCTGTTTAATGATACCAATTTTCTAATAAAGTACGTAACTTAGTATTAACTTGTTAAATTCAATAATCAGACCAAGATGCCCTCTTTAGGTAGTTCTAATGAGTTTGCTTTCATACTTCTTTGGCGCTTAACCGTCAGAGGCACTTTAAATTTCATGAAAGTTTAGTCCCTCGTTCAAAGAAAATAGATGGTGGCTTTATCCACTTTCACTCCCTCTTCAAAGACTCTTCGATTTACAGTGTTCGTTTACTGTGCCTGACTCGTCGTGCTTCTTCTTGGTGGGTCTGGTGTTGTTCTTTTGTGTTTGACGGACTGAAGACGTACATGTTTGTTCACAGATTCGGGAATATCAGAGGAAAGGGTACTGAGTGAGACGGTGGAGCGACGTCTTACGCTTGAATTGCGGCGCTTGACCGAGCTGGCCATTCTCACGTAGGTATGCTTGAATTGTTTGTTGCGGAATGCGAACAGAAAAGGATTCAGAGCCGAGTTAAGGTAGCCAAACATCAACAGTACATAGAAAAGCTTAAAAGGGTATGTTTTCCAGTTATCATGTCCCCATAGATTAGCAACAATGCTGAAATAAGAGAAGGGCTGCCAACAAAAGAAGAAAGCTGCCACAAACATGAGAGTTGTCTTGGCTGCTTTTAGGTTTCTTGCATAGGCCTTGGCGTCTTCCTTGGATTTCTGCCCGCTCTCCTGGCGCACCTTAAAACTGGCACTGCCTCTAGTATGCTTACGAGCAATACAGTATATCATGATGTTTAACACACAAGTGGCTACCAATGGCCCAACAAAGTTAAGAAAATTGCTCAGAGATGTGTATAACTTACTGAAAGGGACCATGCAGGAACCATTGAGTATGATTTTTTTACCTCTTTTTAGAAACGGCCATCCCATGATGGGAAGAAAGGCAAATATGATGCAGTACAACCAGATAAGGCCGATCACAAGTAAAGCTTTTCTTTGGGTCATGAACTGTGCGCGGCGAAAGCGGCTCAGAGGATCACGAAGGCTTTGAAAGCGATCCACGCTGATGGCCAAAAGCGTCAAAATTGAGGTCGGTACAGTGATGAGGTACACGGTAAGAAAAGCTACACACATTACAGCTCCGTGTTTCCAACCTCCTTGGCGAAAAAGAGACTCTATGTCAAAAGGCATTGCTATAGTTGCGGTTAGAAGATCGGAGACAGCCAAGGACAGCAGAAGTAGGTTTGCTGGCTTTCGTCTTAGACTTCTGTTAGTGAGTATAGCGAAACAGACCAGAAGGTTTCCAACAACTGCCACTACTGCGATCAATATGTAACAGGTGGCCACAGGGTAGAGAAACCAGGGCCCAAAGAGAGGAGGCACTTCGTTTGACTGGTGATCAGATGTGTTGTTCATGTTTCTTTTCCCGACGTTTTGTGGCACTCGGCTGAAGTTAACTTTGGAGAGCTTTTACTGAATAAGCTTTTTGAACTAATCAGAATATATTAGAGTCTCGTAAGCCTTATATTGGCATTTTCGTTTGTTTTCGCCTATGAACCTCTGTTTTTATATCAGAAAATAACCAGTGTTCAGACACCCCTTCTTTTCCAAAAAAATGGAGGTCTAATTTTTAAAGGGAGTGGGTGGATGTACATACATGTAGGCTAATTTAAAATCGGAGAGGCATGAATGCTTTTAAATCAATCAGTTCAATATCGAGAGATTATTTTAAGCACAATTTTGGTTATATTTAACTCGTAATACATTTAGATTGGAAATCGTTGATCCAGCAAGCTGACATCAGCCTCAATAAACATTTTTACCTCCTTAAAAACTCTGTTTGGCTTTTTCATAGTGTTCTGAATGAGTGTTAGAATGAGCATTTCAAACTTGATCTCTTGCAAAAACGTTCTCTTAATGGACAAGACGATCTCTTAAAAAGTCAAGTGTTAAGTCTTTATATTAGTTACACAGTGTCTTTTTAATGAAAAAGGAAATGTTCAATAAGCCAACATTTTCCTAGTTTCAATATAACAAGTTTATCAACGATTTTCCTTCGGTTAAAGACAATTCTTTTTGTTTCCTTTTTTTAAAGGGATTACTACTCACTCGTTTATTTTACCTTTATGGCTAGCACCCGGGTGCAAAAACTGATCATCGAATTTACTGTAAACAAAAACAAAAAAAGCGGCCCAAATTTCGTTTAGTTTTTTTATATTCTTCTTCTAGATGTAAGAAATATCCAAGAATAGTTCATCAGTCGTTAAAATACAGTATCGACAACTATTTCATTTTTACGTGTTTAATTTGTGTCAGAGGAGCGTAAAAAAATCACGAACTTCTATGCCCTTATAAATGATAAATTGATAAGGATGCGATAAATGTCCATTTGAATGAAACTGTTTTTCCTTTAATAAAATAAAACTTATTCACTATATCACGAGTAAATCCCGGCGAAGGACATTCAAGGGAAACTTGGTTAGAGGAGTGCAACGGAGGCATTCAAACCCTGACCTTGTTTGAGACAAAAACCCCGCTAACCCTGTTCATAGTAAAGACCAGCCTTCTTTTCTGACCCTGGTTCTCCTCGTTTTGCATACAGAGTTTTGTAATTTTGCAAACAAATTTCATGGTATTACACTGTAGATATTTTTGGATAAAATTTGTTGGCACTGAACAAACACGTGAACCACTCATCGCTAACCTTCACACTCAAAGGCTCCCTGTCCAAAATGACGCCTTGTTCAAGCGCTAAATAGGGCAGTTGTATCAACAGAACTTTGTGTTCTCTTGAAATGTGTAATATATATATAAAGGTAAGGCTGAGGACCCCGAAACCATACCCTGTTACGGGCATAGACGTTTTAAGGCCAAGCAACCAAGCCTGGGGAGTGTCGTCACCGTAGAAGTAATCTGACATGGAATGTATAAAACATAAAACTGAAGCGTGATCTATAAAGGACGATAAAATTTATGTTTGTCAATAGTCGAACGCTTTTACCCAACGAAATTAATACCATAAGTGGTATTTGTCATTTGTTCAGTTTGTTTTTTATAAAAAGCTTTCAGGGCTCTGTAACATTCTAATTATTTGATTTCTGCTAAAAACAAAACATAATCAACAACCAATTTACTAATTAACCAACTTGACTAAAAAGGATTTATTCTAAAAAATGTGCCTTTCCTAATCATTACGTGAGAGGATTTAATAAATGCACCATTCTACTAATAAATTAGGCACTTGATCAGGGATAGCACTCTTTCCTATGGAAACAATATCTTTCGTAATATTTTTCTGAATTCCATCGGCTCAGATAGTATAAAGAGAGAGCTAAGAACTTCATAAGTTATACTTCCGGTCGGTGCACGGTTATCCTCAGTTCATTATGCTTTGTGCATATCTTCAATGTCATCAGAGCAGGTGTTGTGTGCCTTGATGTATGATGTAATAAAGTGGATGTCAAAGAATCCTCTTTCGACAACAGCTATTGTCAGTAATAGAAAAGAACGTCGTGCCCTTTGTACCAAGTGACCCGAGTGTACCTGATGTACCGGCTGTACCGAGTGTGCCGAGTTTACCGAGAAAGGTGGCTTTAGCCCTCAGATGATCTGGCTAGTTACATACATCGCATCAATTTTCTGCATCATAATAGTATTTGTTCTAAAACCAAAATAAACTTTATATACGCATTAGAATACAATGGCATTTAAGGTAAAGGGGTTTCCAACACGTTTTGGCCAAGTCACTTAATCACTACAAAAGGAAACTGTTCAGAGTTTGGAATACATAGGAAAAATAATTAGAAACTGCGTTTAGAACTATCAGAATAATTAATTTTTGGATTTTTTAAACTTACATTCGACAACCGGAGGTCTTGCAATTGCGTTGAAGTTTCTAATACCGCGATAGCCTGCGAGCAAGCTTTTCATTTGGGGGAGTCGGGAAAAGTCGCGCACCAATGGAGATCTAGACGCGAGTGCGAGGGGCACCATACATGAAGAGCTTGACCTTACCTTAAACAGATTTCGCCGCATTTAATTCATTAGACCAAGAGAAAAGGCTATGACGTCATCAACGCTAATCTATTCCCCTCATACAGCTCCTGCCTCATACCCGGATAATTCGCTGCGTGTAATAAGCAGATTCATTAGCGTACGACTTAACGCATAGAAGATGTAGCCGTATACAGCTAGTCGAGAAAGGTTGTCGACGGAAAAAGTGCACACGACTATCCCGAAAGGTATTGTGGGCAAAAATAGAGGCGCAATCCCATGAGACCCCAGAAGAAGCCGAGATACAACGACTGGTATACGCCACCCGGAAAGAAAAGGATGATGGGCTAAGAGAAGAGCTTAAGGAGGTGAAGGCCATGTTGCCAGACAAGACACAGAGAGCCGTGGACCTGGCCTGTGAAAAAGGTGCATCCAGCTGGCTTACAGTTATTCCTCTCAAAGACATGGATTTTGATCTTAACAAGCGGGAATTTCGTGATGCTGTGAGGCTTCGATATGATTGGCCGATACCCGATAATCCGTCAGGAGATCACGCGATGATAGTTATTCAGCGCCAAAATGAAATACGTGATCTACAGGCCCAGCTGCTTGACATGGTTTGTTACGATGTGCAAGTTAAACCGCCATTACAACCTATTACAGGCGAAGAGCTTGCCAGAGGGACTAACCAAGCCCCTGATGCACGCCTTGACGTCCACTGTAGGGGTTTCTGGGAGCGACAGAGGGCTGCATTTTTCGATATAAGGGTGTGTCATACATTACAACCTATTACAGGCGAAGAGCTTGCCAGAGGGACTAACCAAGCCCCTGATGCACGCCTTGACGTCCACTGTAGGGGTTTCTGGGAGCGACAGAGGGCTGCATTTTTCGATATAAGGGTGTGTCATTCCAATGCGGACTCGTGTAGAGATCTTAGCCCCAAGCAAATCTACAGGATTCATGAAAATGAAAATAAGCGAAAATACAACTCTCGCGTCACAGAAATAGAGCAAAGCACATTCACCCCACTGGTATTTACAACGACGGGAGGGATGGCTGACGACTGCCTGAGTTACCACTAAAGATTAGCCGAGCTATTATCTGCTAAAAAGCAAGAGAGCTACGCCATAACAATTTCATGGGTCAGGGCGAAAGTGTCCTTTGCAATTTTGCGGAGCGCGCTCCTACGCCTAAGGGGATCGAGAAGCCCGAGAAGGAGGAACTTAGATGTTAAGGAAGGGATCTAGAAATATAGAGGGGTCAAGCAGGACTTCTCTAGACTCAACACCTATAGATACTTTATTGTTGGGATGTACATAGAAATTTTCATTTTTTAGTTTATAGACAGTTGTTTACATTTGCTCTGTTGAAAACCACTGGACCACCAAGAAGTCTTTTTTTTTTAACTATAGTTATACTAAATTTGTATTTAATTTTCAATTTGAGAAGAGTTTAATAAAGTATGTTTTTTTGAATTATCATTATTATTATTGTAACAATAAGAGATACATAGCATATGATTATATGAAAAACCATTACAATTATGTCTTTGTACTTTTATGTTTTCAACCTGTTGCCAGGTATATTATTATTATCATTATTATTATTGTAACAATAACAGATACATAGCATATGATTATATGAAGAACCAATCATACTCATCACGTCGTTGCTACGTACTTTACAATACGTAACACTACGGGCAAACGCTAACACGTAATAATCGTTACCCTACTAGCTCCAAAAACTACCGCCACACTCTAAAGTACGTAACATGGGGCGAACGGCTATGGAATTAACTTTAAAAAACTGCTGAAGACGTTCAGGCGATAGCTGGATTTCTACCTCCTGCTGTTTGATTGCATCTTTCTCAAATACGAGGATAGAAGGGAGGAACGATTTACTTAATTTTGAACTAAAAAAATGGGGTAATGTAATTAACTTAAATATTGTGATCATTTTACTAAAAATGTCTCTGTTGGCTTGTTAGCCAGTAATTGGTAGAGTGCTGCTCTGGGTTGCGTGTAAAACTGCGAATTTGTCTTCATTTGTTTAATTGATCTTCTTTTTTCATTTAGATTCTCCCTTGAAAGCTTCAGTTTTATTGCGCTGATGTGCTGTTTCGTCTGGGTGGGTGTGGTGTTGTATTTTTGATTCGGACTGCTTGCAGGCGAACAACTTTGTTCTCAGCTTCAGGGACATCAGACGCAACGGTACTCAGCGAGGGAGTGGATCGAGGCCACACTCTTGAACTGCGGCGTTTGACCAAAGTAAATATTCTCGCGTACGTGGCTTTGAATCGCTTGTTGCGGAACGCGAACAGAAAAGGATTCAGAGCCGAGTTAAAGTAGCCAAACATCAACAGCACATAGAAAACTTTACTCGGGTATGGGTCCCAGTTCTGTACACCGTAGAGAGTACCGACAATGCTGAAATACGAGAAGGGCTGCCAGCAAAAGAAGAAAGCTGCCACAAACATGAAGGTTGTCTTGGTTGCTTTAAGGTTGCTTGCATAGGCCTTGGCGTCATCTTTGGACGAATAAGAACTTTTAACCCGATTGAGACTAATGTCATTATGCTTGCGAGCAATACAATACATCATGATATTAAACACACAGGTAGTTACCAATGGCAAAACAAAGTTCAAAAAATTGCTCAAGATGTTGTACAACACACTGTAGAAAATTAAGCATTGTTCTAGTTCGTTTTTCGTACTCCTTTTTATAAACGGCCATCCTAAGATGGGAAGAAAAGCAAAAATGATGCAGTACAGCCATATGAGAACGATCAGAATTAAAGCTTTCCTTTTTGTCATGAGCTGTGTGCGGCGAAAGTGGCGTAGAGGATCACGAAGGTTTAGGTAGCGATCCACGCTGATGGCCAAAAGTGTCAAAATCGAGGTGGGTACAGTGATGAGGTAGGCGGTAAGAAACGCAAGGCACATAACCGCACCATGTTTCCAACCTCCTTGAAGAAGTAACGACTCTATGTCGAAAGGCATTGCTATAGCTGAGGTTAGAAAATCAGAGACAGCCAGGGACAGTAGAAAAAGGTTCGTTGGCTTGCTCCTTAGACTTTTGTTGGCGAGTATAGCGAAACAGACCAGAAGGTTTCCAATAACTGCCACCGCTGCGATTAATATGTAACCTGTAGCAACAGGGTAGAGAAACCAGGGCCCGAGGAGAGAAGATACTTCGTTTGATTGGTCAACAGAAGTGTTGTTCATGATTTTTGAACTCTTTTTTCTTCCTTTAAAACTCTTTTGTTGTAGCTGCAGCACGTGCGATGAAGGTCGAGCTGAACAGTTTCTAAGCAATATCAAAGTGCAACTTTAAGTCGATTAAGGCTGGGGCGCTTTTATCTGTTACATATGCGGATACTTTCATGTGTCGTTCAAGCATGAAACACCAGCGCCATGTCAATATCGGAGACAAATGAAACCGTGAATGAAACAGAAGACCATGAGTGTAGTGGAACAGCTGTTAACAAGTTCATTAAATGGTGTGTAATTAAAACGTTTCAGTTTCACTTCAATGGTATATAATTCAACATAGTTCAACATAGTAATGAATCCTTCTGTGTATTGCATACGTGCAAAGGAAGTTTGTCTGTACCAATACTGGGAACAAATTATTTTTATCGTTAGCGCAAATGGGGTTTATTAACTCACCCACTCAAGCGTAATAAAGTAATGACTAAGCAGCTGGAGTACCGTGGGTTCATCTTTTAAGGAAAAAATTATCATGAAAAACATCAACAAAATCTTTATTCACACTGTAATACAAAAAAAAAATAGAGGAAAATGTACAGAAATAATTCATGGGGTAAAAGACTAATGACGACAAAAACGTAGGAGAAATTGTGATCAGCTTCTGTAGGTACAAATATCATATGTTAGTAGAGAAAGTCTGAAGAAAACCTAAGTTTCAAATGTGCAAAAAAAAAAGAAAATGATTCAGGTAATAATAAAAGAAAAGAAGCTAGGTTTGTTTGGAAATTAAGAAAAATAAAGCTGAGAGGAAAAGATTAAAAAAACTATGAACGATATTGAATGAGATCATTTTTATATTGTAAGTTTTGAAACCGCTAGTTGAGAGCGGTTTCAAATTTGTTGGTGACATTTCCCATAGCTCGGAGGTTACATGCAAAGCTTAATTCACGAGTGCTGATCCTTACTTTTTGAACAATGAAAATAACCCTTTAGAGGCATATCTGGTGTTGTTATTAAAAACTGAATCATTGGATAACGCAGTTCTAGAGTTTTGATTGGCCTAGTCATCATGGTATATGATTGATTATTATTCATTAAAATATTTCGCCGTATTTCGGATTGGCTCCAATCTCCTGGCTTATTCCTCATAACCAGCCGGCGCTTACCATATTTGAAAGATGTAAACAATATTCCGAATGAATTACGATTAAAATAATGAACAATTATTGAATGAAGCTTAGTATGATGTAAAGAATTATGCTGAGATCGACGAGAAAGTTGGCCGAGTCTGATAACAGCCTCCGAGATCAGCATAATTCTTCACATCATAAGAAAGGCAAATTCCTCTTGACTAGTTCAATTATTCTTAACAGGCTTACCTCCTTGGAAAAAATAAAATAAATAGTCTTTATTCAATCAAAGGATAAAAATACATATCCTAAGTTACAGTGAAAAAGTATTAAAAGATACACGATAAAATACAATAGTAATATAAGATAGAATAATACTATACTAAATTATATTTAAAAGAGGGTCTTAAAAATAAGTCTATTTTGTATCTCTCCGTTCTTATCTGAGGAAGGTGACACCTTCTCCTACGCAAATTGTATACTAATTCTTTATCTTTGGGAATGATCGCACCTAGCATATGATTGATATATAGATTTTGCCAGGGCTAAAAGCGAAGCTCCCATTAATAAATTTATAATTTAAATCAAACAATAAACTTGTGATCCACAAATCAGTTAAGTTAAGGGCACATTCATGTGACTTTTTAGGGAAAGGCTAAGTTATTTCTTACATCGAGTTGATAGCCTTATATGTACACCCAAAAAATAGTAAACATCTTCAATCACATTCAAGAGCCATAACGGCTCTAGATCGCAGTAGATTAGGCCTCGAAAACAAATTCTTGGAAAACAAATCAGGCCAAATTTTTTTGCGTTCGATAGGTTTACTTTACAAATTCTTGCCAACAAATCTGGGGTGTGTAAACCAACCTTTTATATTCTTTATACATCACATCTGAGGTGAAACAGTACTATTTATTATACAGACCTCGGACAGAATGCGGCATTTCACAATTTTTTAA